GAGAACAAAGATTTTTAAGCTAAAATTTTACCTATAGATAGATTGAATAACTTAATTTCCACAAAAAACAGTCAATAGCAGTTTAACATACGATGATATAATAATCTACTTTGACATTGAAAATCTCGAGAAAGACATGTTTTATTTTTGTTAAAATTTCTATCTATAGGTAATGTTTTTTGTTTGGAATTCTTTACTTTAGATTTTTCTGAAATATTTTTTTTTCAGTAAAATGGCAATAACTCTTCATCAGTAGATTACGGGAATGAATTCTTTCAAATCTTTTTTCTTCTTTGATTATCACAAGCATCTATTCATAGACATAATAAGATGTTGAATACCGTGTGCCAATTGGATATGTTCACTTTTAAGTTATCTTGACACGATTGTCAGATGAAAAAAAAATATATTACTCTAAGAAATCCCAATAGTAATAAAACATGCAATATATTGAAAACACTTTTCTTATGTCAGAAAAAAAGCGTTGGAATATCTTATTCAATTTCATGCTCAAGACATAGAATATTTCTATACCCTATAGGCAATAACTCAGAATGTCTTATTTTATGCTTTTTGTTCTGTTTTAAGGGCATATATGTGTATTGACTTCTCTGATCTCATTACTGATTCAAGTTTCTGTTTTATCCTTTTCACTTAATTTATTATTTCCAAATGAATATGTTGACGGGGTAGAAGATTCTATAGAAAAGTAGTATGATCAATATACAATTAGATTTTGTCGATTATCCAAACCAAACAAAAATCATGAGTAAATCATTTTTTATAATGCTCGCTACATCACCGGTAGTTTAATACTTCATCAGTCGGCTATCTTTTGAGTGATATTCTATCATATTATATTGATAGCTGTTATTCTTCAATCGGCAATCTACTATTAGTAAACTGTCTGTAGTACGAACAAACGTGTAATATGAGTAGTCACTTCTAACTTCTTGTCCTAAGTAATCATTGTTGACTTCAATAATAAACAATATTATAAATTAAATCAATAGATAAGTATTACTTTAATCTCAATTGACATGCAAGTTAGAATAATTTTTTTTATGAATAGAATTAATTCAATGATTAGATTATATAATAAAATATGAATTAATATTTTAGTTTCGTATATTGAAATAGAATCAAATAATTAAAATCATGTTTCTATTTAGACAAAAAAAAAATATTTAATATCATGTCAAAAAAAATAAATTTGTTTTTTTTGTTCTAGTAAAATAGAATTTAGAATTAACCAGACATGATCATATGAATATTAGTTTTTTCATTTATTAGACTATATTTATATTCATGTCATTATGATATTTGCAAGTCAAGTATAAATATATAAACCTACTACATGATTTCTGAATTATTTAATGATTTTGACTTTTTTTTATTATAGAAATATGAATTTTATTAAGTGAGTTTTATGATTTGATTTTCAAGTTTTCAAGATAAATCAATGAATTATTATCATCTTATTTCTTGAATTTGTTAATATTCAATAAAATGAAATAGAGCTAAAAATGATCGTGCACAGAAAAACAAGCTATACTATTAGTGTGTGTGAAGATTCTGCAGATATTTTACTCTATTAAATTATCTTTTATCATCTATATTTAACCTTTTACCTCCTACAGCGGTTCTAGCAAAGCCATTAATTAACTAACTTTATAAATCGAGTATTAGCCTGTTTAAAATGCTAATGATGTAGTCTGATCCACCAAGTATCCATATCTTTCTACCAAGGACAAAATTAACGCGACACGTATTTTTGATAGATATGTTCATTAATAGTCAATTACGAAAACTATAAGTTTTTCAGAAAATTTTTTCGTCTAGAGGATTTTGTAGAGCTCGTTTCACTGATCATTTTGGTAAAAAAAATATTCAAATTTGCTCGATAAATAACGGCATTAGAGTCAAAATACTCAGAAATATCAACTACTGCTCGGCAGCAGTCATGAACAGTCGAAAGTTTTGAGTATTTTGACTCTGACGCCGTTATTTATCGAGCAAATTTGAATATTTTTTTTACCAAAATGATCAGTGAAACGAGCTCTACAAAATCCTCTAGCCGAAAAAATTTTCTGAAAAACTTATAGTTTTCGTAATTGACTATTAATGAAAATATCTATCAAAAATACGTGTCGCGTTAATTTTGTCCTTGGTAGAAAGATATGGATACTTGGTGGATCAGACTACATCATTAGCATTTTAAACAGGCTAATACTCGATTTATAAAGTTAGTTAATTAATGGCTTTGCTAGAACCGCTGTGGGAGGTAAAAGGTTAAATATAGATGATAAAAGATAATTTAATAGAGTAAAATATGTGCAGAATCTTCACACACACTAATAGTATAGCTTGTTTTTCTGTGCACGATCATTTTTAGCTCTATTTCATTTTATTGAATATTAACAAATTCAAGAAATAAGATGATAATAATTCATTGATTTATCTTGAAAACTTGAAAATCAAATAATAAAACTCACTTAATAAAATTCATATTTCTATAATAAAAAAAAGTCAAAATCATTAAATAATTCAGAAATCATGTAGTAGGTTTATATATTTATACTTGACTTGCAAATATCATAATGACATGAATATAAATATAGTCTAATAAATGAAAAAACTAATATTCATATGATCATGTCTGGTTAATTCTAAATTCTATTTTACTAGAACAAAAAAAACAAATTTATTTTTTTTGACATGATATTAAATATTTTTTTTTTGTCTAAATAGAAACATGATTTTAATTATTTGATTCTATTTCAATATACGAAACTAAAATATTAATTCATATTTTATTATATAATCTAATCATTGAATTAATTCTATTCATAAAAAAAATTATTCTAACTTGCATGTCAATTGAGATTAAAGTAATACTTATCTATTGATTTAATTTATAATATTGTTTATTATTGAAGTCAACAATGATTACTTAGGACAAGAAGTTAGAAGTGACTACTCATATTACACGTTTGTTCGTACTACAGACAGTTTACTAATAGTAGATTGCCGATTGAAGAATAACAGCTATCAATATAATATGATAGAATATCACTCAAAAGATAGCCGACTGATGAAGTATTAAACTACCGGTGATGTAGCGAGCATTATAAAAAATGATTTACTCATGATTTTTGTTTGGTTTGGATAATCGACAAAATCTAATTGTATATTGATCATACTACTTTTCTATAGAATCTTCTACCCCGTCAACATATTCATTTGGAAATAATAAATTAAGTGAAAAGGATAAAACAGAAACTTGAATCAGTAATGAGATCAGAGAAGTCAATACACATATATGCCCTTAAAACAGAACAAAAAGCATAAAATAAGACATTCTGAGTTATTGCCTATAGGGTATAGAAATATTCTATGTCTTGAGCATGAAATTGAATAAGATATTCCAACGCTTTTTTTCTGACATAAGAAAAGTGTTTTCAATATATTGCATGTTTTATTACTATTGGGATTTCTTAGAGTAATATATTTTTTTTTCATCTGACAATCGTGTCAAGATAACTTAAAAGTGAACATATCCAATTGGCACACGGTATTCAACATCTTATTATGTCTATGAATAGATGCTTGTGATAATCAAAGAAGAAAAAAGATTTGAAAGAATTCATTCCCGTAATCTACTGATGAAGAGTTATTGCCATTTTACTGAAAAAAAAATATTTCAGAAAAATCTAAAGTAAAGAATTCCAAACAAAAAACATTACCTATAGATAGAAATTTTAACAAAAATAAAACATGTCTTTCTCGAGATTTTCAATGTCAAAGTAGATTATTATATCATCGTATGTTAAACTGCTATTGACTGTTTTTTGTGGAAATTAAGTTATTCAATCTATCTATAGGTAAAATTTTAGCTTAAAAATCTTTGTTCTCGATTCTTGAGAAATGTTTTACTCTAAGACGGCTAAAACTCTTCATGTGAACACATCCTTTTAGGATTATTGTTTAATTTCCATACGAACCTATTCGTATGCATCATATGAGGTTGGACGCTGTTTCTCACAGTTGGATATGTTCTACGGTTAGATTTAAAAATAGAATATATTATCTTTTGAACTTTTTAAGTAATTTTGAATTTATCTAATTAATAAAAACTGAATCTGTGAGAAAGTCATTTTCTTTTTATAAGGAAAAAGGTTACATTTTAATATCAAATAACAATGAAAAGAATTCATTATTAAAAATAGAAAAAAACTCATTATAGATGGATACAACTATTCTTTTTATAGTTTCTTTCATCTTTTACACATGTATAAAGTCCTTGGAAAAAGAAACCAATAATTATTTATATTAACTTCTATATCAAATTCCAAAATCTACAAATATGATACCTATCATTATCTTCTTTTTTTTTGAAACATATGTAGATAAATTAAAGGCCAATTGAATACACTTTAGAAAATATTTCATTACATTTAATTCAAACCAAGTATGATATATAATTATAATACAAGATTATTTTAGTATTCTTTTCTTTTTTTTTTTGTTGTACTTCGCATATAGATCAAACGCAAAACCTTATATTGATTACATTCATTATGTTAAACGACATTTTGACGTAAATGTTTCTTAAATAAACATTCCTCTTGTCATATGTCACTGATTTCACGTGATATTTTTATTGAATGACAGACAAAATTTAGTTACGAAGAAAAATTTCTTGTATATGAGTGTAACGATAAGAGAACACAAACAGTAATTACTACAAAAAGCATCATAGGTGTCTAGTAATATAAATATGTTTTTCGTTGATTAATAAAAAAAAAAAAAACAAGAAAAAGCTATATTTAGAAGAACTTAAAAATTAAAAAGGTTATATTTTTAGAAAATATTAGAATATGGAAATTCTCATTGTCGTAGAACAACTATTCTTATAGTACTTTTTTTTTCTCCTTTTTTTTTTGTAATAGATAAAAAGTAATCTATAGTTAATCTTTCGATAAAGTACAATAATAATATTACAAATATTTTCTTACATTAACTTTTGTATTAGTTTCCTGACGCATATTAAATTCCATATTGTTACAAGGCATTTGTGTTGTTGATAAAGCAGCTTCAGATTCAAGTAATGATACATCATCTTTATAATTCTGTGCTAAAGGCATGTTGGAATCAATGGCACTCACTAAACTTTCTAATAATTGTCTTGATATTTGTGGTTTAGGTCTTTTTATTGATGTGTTAGATTGTATGGACGTTACAGTTAATGCTTGTTGACGTAGATTATTCGATTGAAAAAGTGATATAACATCGATAGAAGCGATTGATTCACACGTATGTGGATTCGACGATTTCTAAAAAAACAAAATAACATTATCGATTACAGTGGTTTATTATTTTTCTAGGTTTTTTTTTT